TTTCAGCATAGTTTCAGTACCTTCTAATGAAATTGGCCTGAATGATGATCATTTGATTTTTATGCATTAGAAGTTGGAAGTGGTCTTATGAAGCTTATGTGCACGTGCTTGATTCTTTCATTTAGTAAGCTAAAGGTACCTAATGGTGTAGAAACGTGGCAGTTAATCTTCGAACTGTTATTTATACAATAAGCAATCTTTCATTGCATTGACATTTTAAAACTTATGCATTTGTTCGAGCAGTTCTCCCGCAGTCACGACCCGAGACACTCGCCCACATTTAAATTTTTTGTCGTGGCTTAAATAAAATATATTAAAAAAAGGAACAATTCGTTTCCCTTATAACAGAACGTTAACAATTTAAACAAGCTCGAGCCCACTCTCTATAGTCTTTCCTGAGACCATTCCAAATGAAACGTTGCGCTACGAGTTTTTCCAAAACCTTTAGCATCAGAGTGGCTTTGTCAATAAAGATAATCAAAAATTTGACGGCGAAATTGCTATTATCACAATATAGTTCGCACCTACTCCCAGGTATTTTCATTTTTTGAAGTCTAGGTGATGTATGTGAATGTTTTGAACTCAGTATCGGATCTTGAGCCTTGGCAAGAACATTAAAATCGACAGTGACCTGCAATTCCTCTATACGTGATATTGTATATGTCGGGTGTCGGTGGTGAATTTGGAAATAAAATTGAGATATCGATATCGATGAGGGGAAAAACTTTTCTTCCTAATATGAAAAGCAAAGCTAATAAGGGAAATATTGGATTGCCTGATAAATAGCGGGAATTTCACTATCATATAGGGAGTATTTTTGTTGGGAAGGACTAAGCCTGCATAAGTAAAAAATTTGTGGCTGCCAATCGCCTTCTTTACTTTTTTGAAGAACGGCACCTACAGCAATATCTGGAGCATCGGTGATAAAAGCTAGGTAAGCATTACACTTACAGTCAGGATATGCTGAAAGTGCTGCTTTGCAAAGGCTGGTTTTAGTATCCTCGAAAGATTTTAGTGAATTTCCTTTGAGCTCGATAGGATGCTTAACTTTAACTGACCCAGTCCACTAAGCATTGAGAGGGGCCTGTTTTTCAGCTGCAGGTGGAATGAATCTGCGATAGAAGTTAATCATTTCGAGGAATTCCTTAATAGCTTCTCTTCGAGTGGCTTAATACCGTCGCAAGATATTCAGTAACCCAAAAATGTTACTTCTGATGCTCCGAAAACACATTTTGAGTTGTTAAGTATTCGGACATCTGTGCTAACTCTAACTGTAGCGTTTTTTGTGTGAGGATATCTGGAGGGTAAATTAAAAAATCGAACAGGTAAGGGTAAGCGTAATCCATATCTCTTGTTAGCTCATCTACGAATCTCTGAAAGATTTGAGCTAGCGATGGGTCGTTATCTGTTTTTTAAATAATGCAACCACTATCGGTTCCCCAATCACCGATATCAAAACTGTCTTTTTTGGATAACTATTTACTTTACGCTATAAAGTCAAAGCGAATTTTACTCTTAGATTTGTCAATCACACCGAAAGCCAACTACGCGGAACGTACAAACACATACCTATTTCATCATCCTCACATGTATACTGACATCCTGTTGTTGTTTCATTCACGCATAACAGGTTGCATTGTTTGCAAACCATATGCTTCTTGGTGATCACGGATATTGTAAAACGAGTCGCCCAAAAATCAACGTTATGGGATTTACTTAAGAGTGAATTCAACTTTACTCGTTAAAGCATTGTTGAAATTACAAAGTTATTGTATCACTGAATCACGAGTGATCGTGGTTCAGCAAATCACTAATCGGATTGAACTGTCTATCGCAAATAACGCCCATCGCTAGTTTGAGCTGCGGTACGCAAACCAAAGGTCATATAAGCGAATTCGTAGGGTATGGTTATTGATGTCTTCGGAATATAATATTTACTGATAGGTATTTGGTTGTATGCTATATCAAGTCAACGGTGGAAATTTTATAATCTGTTACAATGTGAGTAATACCATGAATGTGTTTCACCGGATACCTATCGGGAATGGACAGTCAGGCACAGGGACACAGGGACGCCAGCCATTTTTTTGAAAGCAAGATGCAAATTCTGCTGATAGCATTACCATTTTGGAGCATAAAATTAAGTTCCTGCTTAACGATCTTGTCATCAGGAGCTAGACGGCGAGTTGTGTAAGCTACAGGCGATCCATGATGGTGTGAATGTATTAAATGGTTTTGTATAGTGTGACATGAGCAGTACTTGTTAGTCAGGTTAGTTCAAGAAATTCCGCACGAATTTTATGGAATCGCGAATTGACCAGACTGAACCTTAACTGACTATAGCGTGCTGTATTTGTCTGCAGATACACCTAAAACTTTTAATGACGTTACTTTATACAACAGTCTCTTATTTCTTACGTCAACAATAAGATTATAGGGTGACAAAATGTTAGCATATTTGTCATTATCGGGTGCAGACTCGATGATATCAACAACCTCGACTGTATGTTGGTGGTCGAGCATACCAAGAGTGGTAAAATTTTGGTTTTATCGGTTGTGATGATGGCTTGTACAGATATATTGGTATGTTTCTTATGCCCACGCGATAAATGTAAGTGTGGTTGGCTGTGCTGTGATAATTCCACCCAGTATTCCAATTTCTGAATGTGTAAAGTAAAATGAAACAATAGTTTAAATAGCAATCGGCGATGCCACAATAATATGAGATGCCTCAATTTAAAAAAAATGTTTTAATAAACAAGCTTTTATTCGTCTCAGTCCTCTTGTCTATTGTATTAGATAGGGCATCTTGTATAGACAAATCAAAGGGCTCAAACTAGACGGTATTGCCTTATTTAATTACAAAGTTTCCATTGTCACCTTCCAGTTCCATTATCAAATCCTGAATATAAACTCTGACCAAAGTCCTTGTCAAAACTAATCAAACGAGCTCAAACTCAATGAGATTTCTTCGTTTAATTACAAAGGTTCCATAGTTACCCTCTGGTTCCATCGTCAAATCAGCTGCATTGCGTTTATATTATGTTTAGACGAATATGAAGTCATATAATGGCGATAGAATAGACGAAACAGTAGTCGCCTTTAGACTAAAAATTTCAGATCTATAAATTAAATTTAATAAATTAATTATTAAAAATTATTAATTTATTTAAAATAAAGCCTACCACAAGGAAACGGGAAATATTTTTTGAATGAAATATCTATGTTCTATATTTTTAGATTTTTCTTCATATTGAATAAAACTTCTATTCCATTTCGACATAAAACAATAAAGATATCAGAAAGTAGACTAGGTCGTAATTGCATGGTTTCGATTTCTCAGTTTTAAATTCTAAAACAAGTCTATTATTCAACAAGGACAACAAAACTTTTGAGTCCTTTCATTTCAGTTTTTATTTTATTATTTATTAGTATAACATACTAGACGCCGGTTTTCCCGTGTCGTCGCCCGCGCCGCTGGTATCCAATACGAGGCTTCATAAACAAAAGACGCGTCGATGACTGCGTTTGAAGTTAACAATTATAAATGAGAAAAAATTACCTTCCTTAGTTAATATCCCAACTATACTTAAGTAAAAATTCAAATTGTTTAATAAATGTACAAAAGTACCTATAATAAGCAAATAGTAGTTTGAACTTCAATTGGAAAATATATTGACAACCGTTATGACGACCTCCGTAGCCGAGTGGTTCGCACGTCGGCTTCAAAGTGTCGCGGGTTCCCGGGTTCGATTCTCGGTCGAGTCAGTATAGAAAATGATTTTTTTTAATGTCTCGTGTTGTGGTACCTTTGTTGTCTCAGATACTCCATAATATGGGGGCTTTAGCTACTCATCTTGGAATCTGAGCAACGAATGTCATTTTGGTTAATATTAAATTTATTTTATATTTCAGTCTTCAAAAGTATATAATTACAAACCTCAGCGTCGTGGTGGAAAAGTCTCAACTTTACGAAAATCACAAAGATTGTCTGTCGTCGTTTAGCAATCAACGACCACCGGACCGTTTTTTTTTTCATCTGGAATTTCGTGTCGTCGCTCAAACGTCACAGGAATTTCTCGCGGATTGTAATCTCCACCGAGATTATACCAGGCACCAGGCATATAGATAATGTAATTGCTATGGTCTCGTTGACGGTACAACTGATTTTTGTTGTTTGTTTGATATTTGTTCTTTTGGTTTGGATTTTTATCTCGGAAGAAAATTAAGATGTAGAGGATTTTGACAAAAAAAAAATAACTGGGTAAGATCGCGAATAATTGGTTTTTAATATGGAGCGTCATTCTCGGGTTATCTTTTAATTTAAGGCGATTACTTGATTTAGCTCCAAACAATGAAAACAGACATTGATAATTTGTTGAAAATCAGCTTTCACCTACTATTTCTCAATTCTAATGGAGGTAAAATATTATATTAAATATCTGATAACTTTTTGTAAGGACTCGACTTTTAAATGTAAGTTCCAAAAACTAGGCTATGCAGACTTTTCAAGATTTCCGACTATTTATATTACCTAAAATTCTATGAATATTGTTTCATTATTTTCGAATAAGTTAGTTTATCTTTCTATGATGAATATAATTTCCTTGAATCTGGATGTATAATTTCCGTAGTAAATGTACAGGATTAAACTTTTTATCACAATTATAACTAATGTCACCACTCGTATATACGTAATGTAATTACTTATCAGGCATAAAATAGGCATAATTTATATAAATTCATCAGCTACACGCCATAAACAACATTCACTGCAAAATATTACAAAGAGTAAAAGAATTTCGTTAAAAATATCAACCCTACCTATAGAACACAGTATACGACAATGAACATTGTTGGCTTCCCGCGCGGGTGAACAAACAATTCTACGTATTGACGAATGTTGTTACAAATATTCAACGTTGCAGCTGTAAATTCGTCAGTATTCGAGAATTTTAAATGTGTGAGTTAATGCATGTATTTGTTTTTGTTCTTCTCAGGCGGAGATATGGTCGGTGTTCATCGCGATACTCCGCAAGAGCGTACGCAACTTGCAGGCGTGCACAGACGTAGGGCTCATACACCACGTGCTGCAGCGCCTGCCGCGCGCGGAGACTGTCGTCGCCGGTGAGCAAGCATCTTTAATAACATTTTACATGTATTGAATGGGGGTGAATTTTTTTAGAGCTTTAAACTGTGAGAAGGAGGCGTAGCCGGTCGCTATCTCTAAATGTTAATTTATTTTTATTTATGTATTGTTTAATTTTTTCATTCATTACTATCATTCTCATAAGCTCAAAACACTGCAAAATTTTATTTTACTTTGTAGTACTTTGTAGTATAGTATTAAAAGTTTTTGCTGTTCATCCTCCAAACCTTCAAATATGTCAAAATTCTATTTGTGTAATATCTTAAATTACATTGTTGTTATGGTCACTATTCTCTCATAATATTGAATCAAACTTATACTTTGAAGTAAAAATATGTATTATTATGTGCTCATTTTTGTTGAATCAATATATGGACTTACTTTCTATTTTGTAATTTGTGTTATGGCTCCTATTTTTGGAATCTATCTTGCAAGAAAGAGATAGACATTAAAATTCCCCTTCCCCTTAAGTCTACACAAGTGAGTTTGAATTTACGGATAAGTTACCCTTACCTACACTATGGACTCCTGGTATCCCTGAGAAAAACAAGAACACGTTTTCAAAAAATTTTTCTCAAGGAGTTCGTACTTATCTCACGGTTACCAGGCGAACATGAGTTGACAGGCGGCGGCATTTAGGGCGAGTAACTTAAGTAGCAGGTTGTAAATAAATAGATTTTATATGTAGTAGCCAACATGAATTATTAAAATATGCTATAACATGCATATTGCATGAATGTCTGTTCTAGCTAAAATATGTTTGCATATACAGATAATATTTGCAGATTGAATTAAATTTATTTTATACGGCCTGTATTTCGGTTTTTAAAGTTCTTTCATTTAGTAAGTTTTTGTCGGCAGTATTTTTTAGAATAGTTTTTCGTCAAGTAGCTAAGTACCTTTATAAATCCAAATCTATCTAAATGAGAACCTAAGTCTGTCAGTCGCCGATAAGCTTTATTTGGTGGAATAATATTGATATCGTTTTTACGTTATTATTTTAGGGAACTAAAATAAACAAAGGTACATTTTGATGTGATACCCAGCTTCAGACAACAGGGAATAAGGCAAACTTTTATGAGTGGCACCACAATTACGTGATGTCCTGGTATTATTATAATTACTAATGAATATTTAATGTCTGCCAGCGAGAATATTTTTGATCTGGGAAGATTAATGTTGAGTTTATTTTCTTAATCATATAGTATTATTACTGTACTACTAGTAAAGTAAAATCAAGATTGTGATAAATTTCACTGCGGTGCTTAATTTTTGTGCATCATTTTATTTCTTATTAGATAGTCTTCTTAGATATGAAAAGGGCAATTCTTATCATTTGGATTAATACATATTTTAAGCTATAAGATTACTGTACATGTATACAATTCGCCTCTTTCGAGAGCTTCACTTACGGGACTGCGAATAATGTAATTTTCTCTTGTATTCATCAAAGTATTGAACCATTAATGTCGACGTGTTTTTGTCATATTTTTAAGGCGTTTTTTAAAGTTTATTATTTCTAATTTTTTTTTAAAGTTCTAGGATAAAATATGTTGGTCTACAGATTGTCTGTCTTAAATTTCCGTTGCCCTACCAATTAGTTCTTTCATCAAGTAATTACATCTTTTCCTCCAGTTAAACATAAATAAAACATAATAGATGCATTTTTCATATAATATTATTTGGCTTGTATAATTTGATTTATTATAAGTCAGAAATGTTTCATAAACATTGTTTTTTAATATTGAACCCGACATGATTGGCGTGTACTATCTAGAAATTGGGTGCAATTGGTGTGCTCCTTAGTACAAGAAAGTTTATAAGTTACTCATTATAGAGTTTATCATAATTTATGAGTTTTAGCCTGATAGTAAATCCATCACAACAGAAGGAGAATTCTTACGTTTCGACGAATGCTGGCGTGCGGAGGTTAATATTTGTTTTTTATAAAAACATTCCAATATTTCTCCTTGTTAGACTTTATTTCTCCTTCTTCAATCTGTCTTAATCGGATTGATTATATTGAAACTGATTTGTTGAAATCATAGTATATTAATTTAAAACGACAATTTTTGTGAAAGGGTAAACGTTAACTTTTTATAAACACTAGGTTTTTAGAAAACTTGGGGATACGCTACTAATAACCTCCGAATTGCGAAGCGACTGAATAGTGAGTAAATAGCAGGTAAATTAGAGGCGGAGTTAAGAATACCCTTTTTAAAGGATGCTATTGCTTATGGGGCGATAGGGACTTCTTCTGTTCGCATGTTACCCTAGTATCTATGGGAGAAACCAATATCTTGTCTTGAAGATGTGTCGTGATTTTTAAGATTAAGTTGTCGTAGTCACTATAAATTTTATAATACGTGTTTATCCACATCTTTCATATCCATAACAGTGTCCTGTTTCAACTTCTGAATAATCTATGTTCACGTAGTATTCGTGAGAAAAGTAAACTTTCTGATTTTAAATCGTGAAAATGTTAAGGAGTCTATAAAAGAGGAAGAGGAAATTATTTTTTATCAAATTTTACGTAATGTATCTACATACAGCACATTAGATAGTTACAATTGTTCTATGAATTCAATGTCTTCATACTTTTTTATTGTTAGGATTAATTTAGTGCTATAATTTCAAAGCCACGTTCTTGTTTATTACAAGACTAATGATAAGAACTTGTGTATTATAATAATGAATGTATCAATATTTTTTTTTAAGAATATTACTTGCCTATACGAGGGTCAAACTGAAAGTTCTTAGAACTGGCCACTTATAAACAATATAATAAAAAAATAATTCTAAAATTTGAAAATATAACTCTTTGCCAATATTACTGAGTATATATTTCATTCATTTGTCATTTGTTTTACGATTTGGCGGCAAATTGAAAATTGTCTGTGTCACGTCATCATGAATTTAACACGAGAAAATTTTCGTGCAATGATTTTTTATGACTTTCGATGTCATTTAAGTCAACAAGAAAGTTATGATAGACTACGATTGGCCTTTCACGATGAAGCCCCATCTCGTGCGACTGTTTACAACTGGTTTAATGAGTTTAAACGTGGTCGCACTAATCTCACTGATGATTTACGTGAGGGACGGCCTTCTACGGCGACGACTGAAGATAACATCTGTGTTGTGCGGCGTATGATAGAGACTGACAAAAGAGTGACCTATCAACAGATTCGGACAAGCTTAGGCATCGGTATGAGTCAAGTGCACAAAATCCTCCACGAACATTTAGCGGTCAGGAAGCTTTGCGCCCGGTGGATACCTCATAATTTGACTGAGGCTCAAAAACTCCATCGTGTGGATTGGTGTCGTAAAATGATTGAAAGATTTAACGGAGGTGACTCAAATGCTGTGTTCGACATACTAACAGGTGACGAAAGCTGGATTTACTGTTATGATCCTAAAACCAAAAGACAATCTGCTCAGTGGGTGTTTCCTTTCGAGGAGTTGCCAACTAAAGTGAAGAGAGATCGAAGTGCGGGAAAAAAAATGGTGGCCTCGTTCTTTGGAAGGATAGGTCATTTTGCAACAATTGTGTTAGAGGATCAAAAAACAGTTTCTGCAGAATGGTACACTACCAATTGTTTGCCACTTGTCTTGGAAAAAGTTCGAGAGAAACGACCTCGCAGTAGGATCCTCCTTCACCACGACAACGCCTCGTCGCACACCGCCAAGCGAACGATCGACTATTTGGCGACATCAAACGTTGAATTACTGGGTCACCCGCCGTATAGCCCCGACCTCGCGCCTTGTGATTTTTATTTATTTCCAAAAATTAAAGAAAAACTTAAAGGAAAGCGGTTTATGAATGCTGAAGAAGCGGTGGCTGCGTATCGCGATGCCATTGAAGAGACCCCTAAGGACGAGTGGGCAAAGTGCTTTTCCCAGTGGTTCCATCGCATGCAGCGATGTATTGACGTGAATGGACAATATTTTGAAAAGATATAATAAAACTAATAACTGGCTAATGTAATCAGTTTTTGATTTTCTAAGAACTTTCAGTTTGACCCTCGTAGAATATGACATGTTTTAACAGATCTATACCACTCTCACTCTTTTGAACAAAAGAACAAATAAAAACAAATGAACGTACTTACGTATTATTCAATCTTTCCTGTACTAATATTATATATTAGTATTTACATGTACTTGTATTATAAATAAGCAAGATTTAATTTTTGTTAAAGCAAGCTATTTCTCTGCTTCATTTTTATTTTTCTGTCGTTGGCTGTAGTTTACCAGCCAATGATAATAGGGCCACAGAACCCTCAGCGAGTAAAAAAGGCTACAAATTTAAAACTTTGCGGCGTCAACTATTCTTGGAGGCGTATAAAATACTACCATATAGTTCTCTATATGGTAGTACTTTATACCCATTATATCCATGACGGTAATAGGAGACGTCGACGTAGCTGTGTGCTTGAAAAGTAATAAAAAAAAATCTGATCGTAATGTCGAGTAATAAATTTTCATCAAATGTAAAAATAAAAAAAAGGAAAATCTTGTATCCTGTATCCTCAAATCCTCCCCTATCCTATTCTAAGTAAGTACAGTTATCCGCAAAAAGGCACTCAAACCTTTTAAGGGAATAAACTTCATGCGAATTATATTTTCACGCGTGGGAGAGCAGTGAATAGCTTGTTATAAATCTGAAGTTTACTTCAATATGCTCGTAATACCGATATTCTGTGTTTGTGTTATGATTTTTTATGCTATTTGAATGTAAAGTCATGAATCTCTATACTTTCTAATTATTAAAATCAATTGTTAAAATAAACCCTTGCCCACCTTGTTGTTGTATGTATAGTTTTATTTTTAAACTTCAAGTGTGATATGTATTATTTATTTACTATATAATTAGTTTTGCTAGGAAATATTGTCAGTAACTCAAATTATTCTTATTGAAAATTGTATAAAAAAGCATTTGTCCCTAGCACTCTGAAATCAAATCCAGAGACAAACT